AAGATCAACAACATAAAATATCAAACTGTAAAGCTGTTTAAAATAGACCTCCACATTTTCTCATCAGCGTGTACTTGCTTACAAAACCTAAGAGATGACATCAGAAATAAAAACCCATGTGAACTCAGTGGCATGGTGCCCACCTGGCAAGTACGAGGTCATGAGTTGGATTCCCAGTACCACACCAAAACAAAAAAAAAAAAAAAAAAAACCATGTGAACTACAATGTCAATCACACAAGTCCTCCGGAGAAATCATCTGCTTCCACTGTTTGCCCCCACAGGCAGCCTTCACATGAGACAGCTAAACAATCCACACGCGAGTACTACGTACATTGACAGAGTTTATGCACATTTTGTTTTGCTGTACTTTCTTGTGGAGCACAGTTGACATCTTTGTTGTCTTCCTGTCGTCGTCCCAGCAGGTCTTCATGATGCTGCGCCTGCCTGTTCACCTGTCAGTTCATCAGTATGTGCCACAAATTTTTTTTGGCATAGTTCTCTGGGCAGAAACATTTTGGTTTTCTTCTGATCTCTTATGAAATCCAGTGTCAAGCCTTTAAGAAAATTTCTCTGTGGTGTTTTGTACTTATTTTCTTTGAAAACTATCCAACTATTTATTCAACACGTTTAGGATTGGATAAAACACAATTGTTGTCTAATGCTGTTTTGCGATTTCTGGCGCAGCTCCTGAAATTCCAGAGGGCAGACAGTGGAGGATGAACAGTAACAAGCATCGAATGCAAAAAGCTGAGTCAGGCAGAGCCACCTGTCCCAGTGACTGCACTGTTGATTTACACTCTTAGGAAGGTAACATCAGCTGAACCGTACCTAGCAGCTTGCTCACATGGCTTACCTTGGGTGCTGCATGCTCTTGGGCTTTGCTTTAGCCCTGCGTGTGTGGTTGATCTCCAGCTTCAGCCACTTCTCACACTGTTTTTTTTTCTCACACTGTTTTGAGTAACCTCACCTAGAACTCCTGAACAATGTCTACCCATTTTTGGTTTTGTTGTACAAAGTTTCAATCTCAGGCTTCTGTTTTGTCAGGGTCCCTCCTATATTTCCATCATGGTGAGCACTGGGTATAGTGGAGTTTGCCTATAATCCCAGCACTCAGGAGGCTGAGGCAGGAGGATTGCCTCAATTTTGAGGCCAGCCTGGGCTACAGAGTGAGTTCAGGGGCAGTCTGAACTATACAGTGAGACCCCATATCAAAAAGCAAACAAACACAAAAAAACCTTATGGTGCAATGCTGATGTCAGCAGTACTGGTTTGCTTTTCTTTACCATCTACAGGGCTAGTGTTACAGCATTCTTAAATCCAAAGATTTATACAAGTCTTTTTTGCAATTGCAACATTTCATTCAGAACTTCTGCTTTGGTCCTGTGTAGTCTGAGGGCTGATCAACTTATGGTCTGTTAGCAAATGTACCATCAGTTGGAAACTGGTGACCATTTGTTGACTGTCACATTTGTGGTCAGTTTGGGAGATAGGTGCAGCAAGTCTGTTGACACCATCATTTGGTTTATTATTCAAATAAGGGCCTGATGACTGAGGTCCAGGATAAATGTCTCAATTGAAAGCATAGTCAGTCTTCACATCTACACGGGCATAAATCTATGCCATATTTTGCCCCACTGCTTCCCCATGAGTATTGTACTTTCTTGCAATCATTGCAGAAGACCTGTGCTGAGTGCAGCAGTCCTCCAAGCGCTTTCAGTTCAGCTGAGAGGTCATCATACATGCATTTCCAAGAGGCCTTTGGCACACACAGAGTGTTTTGCTCCTATCTCAGCCTTTGTGTATTTCACAGTGTTGTAGCACTTTGTGTGTTACCATTTCCAACATTGAGTGGCACTGCTGGCCTTCTGTTCCATAGGTTTTTTTCCCGCTGAGACCCTCACTATGTTTTGGGACCTAGTTCTGACACTGGGTGGCAACATTTCCACCAGTCAAATATGGACTCACCTTGGTTTTTCCTGTCTTCTGAATCAAGCAATTCCACATGCCATGGGTCCGTCCGTGTCAGTTGATTCTTGCTCTCAGGAAATCTAGCTCAGCATCAGGTTCACCCTCACCCTCACCCCTATGTCTGTATGTTGTGAGAACACAGATGGCAAATGTATGGGAATCTGATGGTTCACTTCTGACCTCCTCCAAAGCTTCCAAACCTGGTTTCTCATGTGCCATTGTACTGAACTGGGCTAATTCTATCAGAAAAATCAAAAGCTTTTTAAAGGCAAACCCTGGAGTGCTATGTTTGTGTTATACTGCCTGGCTTTATACTGGGGCACATACACAGAGACCTGGCTGTTGTCGTACCAAGTTATTGTGGTACGAAGTGGGCAGGCTAGTGACGGCTCCATCTCCCTCAGGCAACAGCATCAAGGCACCCGGTGGGCTACTGCCTGTGTTAGAGTGACAGTGCACAGGAGAGAAGCCAGGTGTGTCTGTGTAACCCAGGGTCCCATTCTGCTGGCTTGTAGTCCGTGACAGGCGCTGGCGTAAGCATGTTCCTTCTGCCAGGGAGTAAGGCAGCAAGCAGGCAGCTTCTGGCCTCCCGAGGGTCCGAGGCTGGCTTTGGGCTAGCTGTGTGGCCCGGCCCTGCTGGCCTCTGCGGCAGAGGAGCAGCTTGCAGCAGCTGGACAGGGTCCTGATGTGTGCACTCACTGGCCAGCAAGTTTTATGTGTATGTGGAGCTGGGGATGGAACCCTGGGTCTCATGCATGCCAGGTGAGAGCTCTGTACATCCCAGCTGGCTCCAGAACTTTGAACCCTCAATGGCTGCCCCAAGGCTGCAGCCGCCCTCCTGTCACAGGGCACCCTGGTCCCCTAGTAAGTAGCCCCCAACAGGTACCCTGGGCACCCTTTCCAGCCCCTGGTGTCTGAGGAGACTGGCTTTGCAGAGCCTAGGTCATAGGAAAGCAGGGCAGAGACTGGACAGACAGACTGAGACGTCGTGTACAGATAAGGTCTTATGTGTGGAAATGCAGAGACAGGCTCTGGAAGGTAGACGCGAGGCCAGGTGAATGGTGGGCAAGCTGTGGGTGGGCTAGCCTGGTGTGGACCCCAGAGTCTGGGGTGAGACTGACACAGGCGGTGGGGCAGAGGTCACCACTGGCTCTGAGGGAAAGACCAGAGACAAGGGTGCTGGAGACCAGGTGTCTGCCCTCGCTGCTGGCGTCTGTGCTTCTTTCACTTTACTTTAGCCTAAGAGCTGGCCTCTAGCCGCACTCGACCTCTGCCTTACATGCAGCCAGGAATCCTGGGAGCATGGCAGAGAAGGCAAGGCAGCTCTCCTTGGTGCAAATCTTCCTGTGGTGTCTCTGCCTCCTCTGTGAGAAGTACACAGATGACAGACCGTCAGGAGCAGGGTACAGAAGGTCGATGGCTGGAACAGCAGGCAGACATTAAGCTACAACCATTCATTGGTAATGCTGAGTCCTGGTGCCATGGACTGTTTTCACTGACTTGTTTAGGTAACTGGAGGATCCTCCTGCCTCTGCCTCCTGACTAGCTGGATTTACAATAAGGTACTGGCCCCAACTTAAACCTTGTCATAATTTGAGTTTTGTACCATGCAAATGCATTAAAACACATTCAAGTGCACATATGCACCTGCACACCCCTGGGGACTTATGGGCCACAGGGCGCCATACGGCAGCGAGGAAATAGTAACTGGTTACACTCAGTGGCTGCAAAGACAGCTGGAAACACTCAAGCTGCTACTGGGGATGCCCAGGGGTGCTGGGCAAGGCTGGAGTGCTCCTCTAAGAGCTTCTGTAAGCAACAGGCAGCTACTGCTCCCCCTTTTCACAGATAAAGGAATAATAACAGCGAATGGCAGCATGTTAGACCTGCTCATTCTGATGAAAGGGCAGTGGCTGGGGCCTCTGCGTCCTGAATACTCCATCTTCACTGCTTTTGAGGTGAGACCTTGCAATGTTGCCAGGTTGGTCTTAACTGTGGGTACCAGTGATCCTCCTGCCTCAGCTTCCAGGGAGCTAGAATTACAGTCATGCTTGGCTTACCTTTTCTAACCATTTTAAAATCTTTTCTTTTGGGCGGAGGCTATTTGAGACAACGTCTGGCTATGTAGTGCAGGCTGACCTTGAACTCACTATGTAGCCCAGGCTGGTCTCAAACTCACAGCAATTTTATGCACCAAATCCAGTTTCACATCCCATGTCAGACTGAACAGGTTCAAGCCCACACCTAAGATATCTGTTGTCTGGCCCTTTGCTTAAAGAGGTGGCTGTCACCTGCGCATTCCTTGTTTCTTTTCTTTTCTTTCTTTTTTTTTTTTTTTTTGTCTTTTTCATTTTTATCGGTACCAGGGATCGAACTCATGACTGCTGCTTGCAAGGCAGGCGCTTATGCCACTGAGCTAAATCCCCAGCCCCTCATTCCTTGTTTCTTAAACAGATATTTTTTTTGAGATGGGTTCTTGCTCTGTGGCACAGGTAGGCCTCAAACTCTTGACCTTCCCACCCCAGCCTCACAATGCTGGGATGACATGATGTGACCTCACCCTAGGCTTCACAGGGTGACCGTCTGGTGGGATGTGGCGTCAGGCCCAAGCCAGGCCCCGCACTCAGCCTGGTCTGCCTGGAAGCTCTTGGCTTCCACCATGGCTCAGGGAACAGACCTGGCCCAGTCTGCAGGAGATGACGCTCATGTTCCAGGTGAAGCCCGCTGGCCCTCTACCTGAGGTCACCCTGGGTCAGCTGCCCACCCTAGCTGCCCTGCTGGCCAAAGGTGTGTGAGGCCAGAAGCCAGTGCCCAATCTGCTAAGCCCTAAGCCAGGGAGCACCTGGCATTTCTCCTGCCATGCAGGCCAAGGAGCTCCAGGGTTGGGTGGACAGACAGGGCTCACCATGGGCTCAAAAAATACCTGTCCTGGGCAGTGCCCTGTTTGCTGGGGGTGAAGGCGACACTGAGGCTGGACCTGGCATGCTACTTGATTGCAGGCAGGGTCAGCTATATAGACAGCTTCCAGTCTTTGTGGAAAAGCAGTTCAATTTACTTCCTATTTATAAAATGTAAAAATGTCCCTTAGGTATAAAATCTAAATGTTATGGTACAGTTGGTCAGGGGTGCAGAGCTTGAGCTTGTAGCGTTCTAAGTCAGTCTGGGTGGTACCAGAACACAGGGACTAGGGGTCCACTGTCCCCGGGAGCCCTGGGTGGAGGAGGTGGGAGAAGGTGGGTAGCTTGGGCAGAGCTAGCCAGGCACAGGGACCACAGCAGCCCCAAAGGGCGCTTCCCTGATGCCGCAGTTGGCCAAGCCGTCCTTGTGTGCCGTGGGTGCCTGTTGTGACGGCCATCATGGTTTCCACCAGGCAGGCCGAGGTGTCACCTTGAGCCCTGCAGGAACTCCTTGCGCAGCCACAGAGAGTCGCAGTAGAAGCGGGGGTCGCCCAGCCGCATGGCCGTACGCTTATAGAAGTAGCAGTAGAGCACTGCCGCTGCAGTAGAAAGCAGAAGTGTTGGGCCCGGGCCCGGGCCTGGGCCTGCACCTGCTGCCTTCCTCAGGGCAGGGCAGGGCAGACCCACCCTGCCAGCCCCACCAGCCTGTGGCTGTGTATCTTTACCCAGCCTCTGGAGCACGAACAGTGCCTGCAGCCCGCTGGTCCACACAAAGCTCTTGGAGTTCTTCCAGCGCAGGTTCTGGAGGAGAGGGATGGGTCAGTATCACACGAAGCCCCACTGTCTCTCATGGGCTCTGGGTCAGCACTCACTTCTCCACAGTGCCCAGGCCCCCTTCTAGCCATAAAAGGAAACCCTAGGGCATGAGGCTGGAGCCTCTCTCAGTCTAGCACAGGGTCCGGGACAGTGGCATGGCCGCACCTCTCCCTGGGTCATGCGTGGGCAGCCGAGGCCACAGTGGTACAAAGGGCCTGGGCCCCAGGCTTGGCTGTACCCTGGTTTTGCTGTGAAATTGGGCATAGAACCTGGGCCTCATCCGTTTGAGACACACATTTCAGTTCTGTCCCTAGCCCAGATCCAGGGTCTGAGGGACACGTCCTGCAGCCACAAAGGGTGCAGGGTGCCATGGGCAGCAGCTCCCCTACTGGCTGCTGACCCAGATGCCACTGGCCCCACCCAGCCCGGCACAGTGACACCCCACGTGCATCTGCCTAACGGCTGAGGCTGGCTCAGCTGCAAGTCGAAGCCCTGTTACTGACAGGAGGTGAGATCACCTGGCACCACACAACAGCCCTTATGCTTTGCTCTGGGGCACAACCTGCCTAGCACAGCAAGATCCTGCTCCCGTCCCTGGCTCCATAACAAAGACAACAACTCCAGTGCTTCTGAGTGGAGCATGCTGGAGCTTACTGGCAATCCTAGCACTCAGAAGGCTGAGGCAGGAGGATCTCAAGTTTGAACTGAGCCTGGGCAACTAAATAATTTTGTGAGACCCTGTGTCAAAATAAAGATGGCTGAGGTGGAGCTCAGTGTAAAAAACTGGGGTTCAATCCCCCATCCTGCAAAAAAAACTTGACAGGGGCTAGGGATTTAGCTCAGTGCCTGCCTTGCAAGCATGCAGTCGTGAGTTCGACCCCGGTACTAAAACAAAACAAAACAACCTGACAATCTGGCATGGTTGCGCATGTCTATAATCTCAGCACTCGAGAGGCTGAGGCAGGATGGATTTTGAGATCAGACTGAACTACACAGCGACCCCTATCTCAAAAAGCAAAGGACAGCAAAATGGACAGGCAACCCAAAGACAAATCTAAAAGCTCAACTGCACACAGGAGGCTGAGAGAAAGTACTGTGAGCCCCGGACCCAGACCAAACACTCCTTTTGCTCATGTCCCGCAATGGGGTCCACCAAGCCTGGGCTCCTGGGGGAGCTGTGGGCTCTGGAGAGCTGGGACTGGAGCCACTGCTTACCATGAGCCACACATGTAGGGAGATGCTGAGTGCGAAGTAGGCGGCCGTCAGGATGATGGTGCCCTTGAACTTACGAAACAGGAGGCTGACCAGGCCAGCCTGGAAGACGAAGGTGTTGAAGAACATGAGGAAAACGATGATGACATTGAAGAGGACCGAGATGTCCTGGATGCTGCAGAGGAGAACAGAGCGCCCCATGGAGGTCTGGGCCAGGGCACCATTGGGCTTGTCCCTTCTTGCAGCAGCACAGGCTTTAGCACCCAGTGACAAAAGCTAGGCACCCAGTGACTTGGGTTGCAGTGCACAGTGGCTGAGGGCGCACATCCTCCCAGGTCCTGCTGCTGTGGGGTGGGTCCATTCCCAATACCCTGCTAGGGCCCTGTCTCCTGTCTCCAGAGGACCCTGCGGCCCCTGTACAGAAGGCAGCCTCGAGCGTCCTGCAGCCGGTGGCACTCAGTAGCAGGTGGCCACCTGACCTTGCCTGAGGTGGCTAGTGTCCCTCTCCAGGGAACTCTGTGACCACTGCTAATTAGGCCCCGATCCAGCTGTGGAATGCCCTGTAGTGCCGGCCAGCTTCCAGCGCTTTCCAGGGATGCTATGGGCTCCCACCACTGGCCTGGGGCTCGCTGTGTCACCTGCCACCTCTTGACCTCCTGCAGGGCAGCAGCAAAGGAAGAAAAGAGTGGTCAAGAGACTCCCCAGCCCTGGGCTGCATCCATGCCCTTCGGAACCCAGGTCAGTGTACCCTTGTATTTTTTTGGTCCTGGGAATCAAACCCAGGACCTGGTGCTTGCCAGACAGGTGCCTGTGCCACTGAATTACATTCCTGGCGCCTGTGTCTGACTCTGTCCCTTTACCCTGGGCCCCAAGGCCTGTGGGCTACGCTCACATGAAGAGCACCAGCTGGACGACGGGTGCCCCTCGGAGCAGCTCAGAGAAGGCATTGGCGAAGAGGTCATAGGCTAGCAGCAGGCACTGCAGGGACAGCACCAGGCTGTAGTTGCTGGTCTGCAGCATCGTCCAGCTGCTCTTGGGGCACGGGCCACATCCCACAGTCCCTGGGTGCTGCAGAGGGTGCTGGGTCCGTCCCAGTCAGAGCTGCTCCTCGTGCACTAGACCAAGGACCTTTGAGGCAAAAAGAGAGGCGATTTTAGAAATCTGCTGCTCAGAAACACAGACCGAGCACCCACTGTGGCAAACAAATGAACAAAGCCAGCAACTGCAGTGCCCCAGCTTGTTGCTCCTCATGGGAGCCCTCACTTTAAACCTCTCTCTGCACTCAGACTCTCGAGAGGCAGAGCTGCTCTGGACCCCAAAATCTAGGAGTACTAGGAATCAGGGCAACTGCCTGGTAACATGACAGGAGTAGGTGGGACACAGTGGCAAACCAAGTAGGGTGTGGCGGTGCTCACCTGTAATCTTAACACTCTGGGAGGCTGATGCAAGACAATCTTGAGTCCGAGCTCAGCTTGGGCAACTCAGCGACTGTGAGACCCTCCTAAAGGGAGAAGGGTGACTTGGCACGCAGCTCACAGTGAGCTGAGGCTCAATCTCCAGCAGAAGGGGAAGGAACAAACACCTACTATGTATCACTTGCAGTACCAAGGAGGTCTATAGGCACTGACATTACTGAGAGGGCTGGAAGATACACTGTAGTAATACCCCTGTTACAGATAAGAAAGCAGAAGCCTAGGGGCCTAAAAGAGTTCCACTTACCTAGCTGGTAACTGCTGAGCCCCAATTTGGAAGAGCACTGGGTATAGCCTGCTCTTAAGCACACCCCTGTCTGCCTGGTGTGAAATCAGGTGGGAAAGGGGCCCATGTCAGGTGGGAAGTGGTGCATGCAGGAACACTGCATGCAGGAAGCAATGCAAGCAAAAAAGGCTCCCCTGATAAGGTCACTTCAAGGCAGTGCAACAACACAGCAGGCCCAGGTAAGAGGAGCTGGTTCTTCGTAGTCACAGATCTCAAGACCCACAAATTAAAAGAAACAAAACAAAACAACCACCCACCAAAGTTGTTCTGGGGGCGCCCTGTGATGCTGTAGCTAGATCAGCTCTACCTGCGAATGACAAAATGCACCAGGCCTGGTAGCGCAGCTCTGTACTCCTAGCATTCAGGAGGCTGAGGTAGGAGGTTTACTGTGAGTTCAAGATCAACCTGAGCTACTTGGTGTGAGCCTGTTTCAAAGAAACAAAACCAATGGCCGGTTGGGGTGGCCCAGGCTTGCAGTCCCAGCACTTTAGAGGTAAAGGCAACAGGACACTAGGGAGCTGGACCCCAGCCCTGGCTGCATGGTAAGTTCAAGGCCAGCCTGAACTATACAGTGAGACCCTGTCTCGAAACACAAACAAACAAATACCCAACAGCAGCAACAACAACAAAGCCCAAGAACAACAAATCACCACCACCACCACCACCACCACAAGGCCCGAAGAGTCAGAAAGCACTGCCCCCAGGCTCCGCCCACCAATGTCCCTTAATCCCGGATTAGCAGTCCGCGGCCGCGCAGAAGTCAGAAAGAAGCCAGGAAGGACAGTGCCGGGACGCTCCGGGCCCGGATATCGCCCCGCTCCACCGCCCACGTCTGTTATCCTTGCGGCGCAGCGCATGGGAAGCCCCAAACGCTCCCAGGTTAAGTCACCCCCAGGCTCGCCCCGGCCAACGTCGGCGTCTGGGGTCCCCGCCGCACCGCGCAGCGCCGCGCTCAAAACTGGCCGCCCGCCTTGTCCTGTAGCAGTTTTCCTCACTCTTCCCAATCCACGTCCGAGTGGGACTCTTTGGCAAAAGTTCAAACACAAAACAACTGCGACAAATGTTCTGATTTCTGGCCACTGTATCCATTTTCTCCTCACCCGCACTCACCTCTGAGAGCCCGCGGCGGTTGCCATGGGGACACTGGGCTATCTCCGGAAGCCGACCAGAAGTTCCGGAAGTAGATGGCCACCTCCTCCTGTTCGGTGTCCAGCGGGCCGCCATGTTTGTCCTTTGCGTTCGGTGCCCGCCTGCTCCTGGCTCTCCAACCCTCTGCTTATGTTGAGAGCCCCCATAAGGAGGCTGTACGTTAACCACAATGTTTCTCCCTCTTCGGGATGAGAGACGAGGAACACAGCAGACACATCACGGTGCGCCGGCCGAGAAACAGTGGCCTGGCGGCCGGAATGTTGGTAATGGGTGACCGCAGAGCCTGGACTCCATTTCCCAGGAGGCCTCGCGCGCAACCGGAAGTTCAGTGAGCCTATAAGAGCACCAGGCACCTGGCTGGTAGATATTCTTGGAAAGGCGGGCTGGGAACATCTCGAACGCTAGTTCCAGGACTTGGGGCAGTAGCCGCAGCGGCTCCCAGAGGCGAGAGGCGGCCTTCAGAGTCCCCGTCCCGTGGCGTGCAGCTGCGGTTTAGGGGTGAGAAAGAGCCCGATTGGGATGTCAGGGACCTGGGTTCAAGTGTTGGTTCGGCTGCCCCTGTGCTTCGCGCTGTTGCTAGCCCTGTCTCCGCTTCAGTTTGCGCTTTCAGGAAATGGACATTGTGCTCCGCGCCCTTCCTTGCAGAGGCAATAGTGTGAAAGCGCGAACGCTTTGGGGGAGGTGCGGAAAGCAGTCGAGCCCCTGCCTCGTTTTCCATCCGAAGTTGACCGGGACCAGATGCCGTGCGGAGGGGACAGCTGTCAGCCCTGACTCAGTCCCGTGGCTTTGGGACTGTGGCTGGCTTGGCTTACTCACCTACGTGGGATATCGGGTCGCTTATCCCCTGGGAGAGGCGGCACCCTGGGCACTGAGGCAGAGAGGACCAGTTTCAGTCTTGGCTAAGTCACTTTCCTCTTTGTTAGATAAGGGTTTAGGGCTTGAATCCTAAGTCTCGTTCTGACGATTCCCAAGATGGGGGAGCAGCACTTTTTGTTCTTTTGTCTCTGCGATTCTAAAATTTGAGAGTAGTGTGAGAGTTTGGAATACATAGAGCCTTTTTCTAAGACTAAGAGCCCCATGGGACATACCCATTTCTCACTTCTAAGCCTGATCCTAGCATGGCAAACCTGTGGCACGCATGCTGCATCAGGCTGTGTTGCTGAAAAGTTTAAGATGTTTGCCTTCACTGTCCTGGAACTCTCTGTGCAAAGGAAATGAGGGACTGATTAGCTTACAGTAGATTCCTTAGATCAGGGTGGACCAAGAGCAAGTCACAGCCTACAACTGGCCACATCCAGCCACCTGAATAGTTTTTACACGTTTAAATGACTGAAAAAATAAAAAGGATTTTTGGGGGTATTGGAGATTGAACTTAGCTTTGAGGCAGGTCCACTAGGTTGCTGAGTTTCAGCAACTTCCTCTTGCCTCAGCCTGGAGTACTGGAATGACAGGGCTGTCCCATTATGCCTGGCTGAAGCATCACATTCGTCTGACATGTGAAGATCAGGATACGGTCCCATATCAGCGTCACCAGAGGGCCCTTGGAACACAGTCATGCTCACGGCTAAGAGGTTGTGGCTGCTGCTGCAGTGTGGTGCAGTAGCAAGGCAGGTGACAGCAGTGGCAGAGACCAAAGTATTAGTTACCTGGGCCTTGCTGAAGAGTTTGCTGGCTCCTGCCTTAGAACTAGGCTCTACAGAGGAGGGTGAGGCAGGAGACCACCTTGGTGAGCACTCCTGAAGCCCCAGTGCAGTGCCTGCATGCAGTGTCACCGCCATTCCCCATGGCATGTCTGTGTGCTGTGGGCAGTGCACTATGGCTTTCCTGTACATGGCCAGGAAAGTGTCCCATTAATCTCTGTAATCCGGTCATACAGCAGTAATTCAGGACTTCAGAGGTGAATCACCTTCAGAGGTGAATACAGTCATTTTTGGATCATTAATTACTTGTTTAAAGAAAAAAAGATTGGGACCCCAATACTCTGGGAAGCTGAGGTAGAAGGATGGCAAGTTTAAGCCTGACCTGGGCAACTTAGCCACTTAATGAGACTGTCTCAAAAAATAAAGAGCTGGGGAGGCAGCTCAGTATAAAGTTACTTTCCCGCTCAAAAAAAGATTATGGAAGTAGATGTCATTGGCTGCTGGAGCCTGCTGATGGAGATTCCTTACAGCTGCCACGTAGGAGGCCTGGCTAGCTAGAACTTGTCTGCCCAGGCAGGAGCCAAGGAGGCAGCTCCTAGCGCAATAGTGAGTGACTCTCCCGGCTTAGTGGCTAGCTCTCGAGGTCAGTGGCAGGAATCATGCCTGCCCTCTGTCTTGGGAAGCTTGCTCTTCCCCGGTTCAGGTCTTCCTCTCCTGGAGGTGTCGGCTGGTGCAGCTGGCCTTTGAGAGCCTAGTGCCTGTCCCAGTGTGAGGAACTAGCCTAGTGCAGCTTGGCATCAGTGCTGTTGAGAGGGTTGGGCAGGTGCAGGGACTGTGAGCTTTGGGGTTTTGTTTGTTTTTAGCAACAAGTTCTCCGTGCCCAAGCCGGCCTTGAACTTCTGGGCTCAAATGATCTTTGCTGCCTCAGCCTCCCTAGTAGCTGGGACTGTAGGCTTGTGCCCTTATTCCCAGCCTGCTACAGCTTTTGTTAGCAGTTTGGATAAAATCCTGTAAGAATAATAAGTAGAATGTGTCCTAATAGTTGGCTGTCAAAATTTCCTGCACACTGTTTGTCTTGCTGACAGCCTTGGCCGAGGGGAAAGTGCCTGCTGTGGGCTAGGAAGCCAGCAGCCATGGGTTTGACCCTGCTACCCACATTGTCCTGACAGAATTACATAGTGCTTCTGAGTTTCGGTTTCCATGTGTGTGTCTGTTTGTGTGTGTAAGAAGGTGTGCTGCTGCTTGCAGAGGGGCAGTGTGGGGGTCCGGCATTCACAGCTGGTGTTCAGTGTGTAGCTCTTACTACTCTGTTTCTTTCTAATGCAAACAGGGGTACAAGGTGCCCAGGCAGTGAGAACCAGAGCCCCTGCCCTGTCCAGAGGAGAAGAATTAGGTGTGGCCACTCCTGGGGTTACAGCTGATTCTGCAGTGAGACCATGGGGTGGGGTGCCCAACTGAGGTCTAAGTGTGAAGCTTCTGCCGTGTGCATATGCACATGCACATGGGGCCTGGGTCCTGGCATTCTGGAGAGCTCTCTGCCCCTGAGCCTCATACCTAGGGCCGTGTGTGGCTTCTCAGAGCAGCTTCAGGAACATGTGGTCAGGCCTGAAACCAGAGCTGGCTTCTGAGTTTACTGTGCAGATGTGGAAAACTCTAAAATTAACCCTCATGTTTTCTAGAGCGTGAGTTCTTGCTTCCTCTTTTTCTCCCTGGACTTTCCCTAGAGAGGAGAAAGCAGAAGTGTGAGGCTGGAGATACCTGTGGCTGGCAGTGGATTCAGGGAGTCTTGGTCTAGGGTGAAAGCCAAGTCACCCCTGGTCCTGGAGTTACCCCATCTGGGAAGGAGGAGCCTTCTATAGAAGGGGCTATAGGTCAGCGTCCCAGGCCATCCAGAATCTGAAGTGTTATGGAACTTTATTTATGGTTTTCTTTTACTTTTTTCAAGACAGGGTCTCACTGTGTGGTTCAGCCCAGCCTTAAACTTACTATGTTGCTCAGGGTAACATGGAACTCACAGAGATCCTCTTGCCTCAGCCACCCTAGTGCAGGGATCACAGGTGTCTGCCATTATGCCCAGCTACATTCTATAGCTTTTTGATCACCAAAATGAAGCTCAAAATATGCAACATGCAAATATTTCAAATTTCTCAACTGGTTACAGAGGCCCAGATGTAATCCCAGCTACTCAGCAGGCTGAGGCAGGAAGACTGCAAGTTCAAGGCCAACGAGGGCAATTTAGCAACATGCTGTCTCAAAATTGAAAAAAGTATTTGGGGTGGTAGCTCAGTGGTTGAGCACTTGCCTGCTGTGTGTGTAGTCTTGGGTTCCATCACCGGTAGAACAACAACAACAAAAACTCACGAAAATTCTGGAAACCTGCAGCCCTTCGAGGTGTTGCTGTGAGTCGCACTCCTCTGGTGCCCCCTTGGGAGTCAAGGCATTTGGAGCAGTGCCCAGATGAGGGGTAGGGAGCTGAAGCAGAATCCGTGTCCTGGACCCAGAGGATGACTGAGTTCCAGGGGCAGCCAGCCTGGCCTAGCCCCTTGGGAACACATGACTCCTATCCCTTCCAGGAGCGTGATGGCAATGGCTTCCAGGGGCTTCTACCTGGCCTGCCTGCTGCTGGGCTGCCTGGGCTTCCTCTGCATCCTCCTCATCACCTACTGGACCCGGCACTGGCATGGTTACTTCGCGTGGGATGGCAGCCTGCACATGTTCAACTGGCACCCAGTGCTTATGGTATCAGGCATGGTGGTGCTCTATGGGGTCGGTGAGTGGGGATCATGGGGCACCGGGCATGGTCACCTTGTCCGTGCTAGGCTTGGGCTATACTGGCAGCTACTACATGCGGCTGGCTTTCAGGGAGCAAGTGGTAAGGGCATGGGCATCTCGGTACTTGGGGCAGGAGTCAGCAAACACTGCTGAGGACCAGCAAGTGAATATTGCTGGCCTTCAGCCAAGTGTAGGGCACATGCCCGGCCTTCTCTGCACTCTGGGAAGCTGGGGCAGCAGGATTGTTAAATTCTGCCCCAGCCTAGGCAACATTGCACCTGAGGGAGAGCCAGTCTTCAAAATAAAACATACATTGAGGGCTGGGTGTGGAGTCGCACACCTGTAGTCCAGCACTCAGGAGGCTGAGGTGGGAGGATCGCTGTGAGTTCAGTGCCACCCTGGGCTGCATAGCGAGACTGTCAAACGAATAAATAAAGAGGGCTGAGGACGCTGCTCAGTGTAAAGGCCTAGGTTCAATCCCCAGTGCCACAAGTAAAATGAAACAGAAGAGACTTGTAGGCTTTACAAGCCACGCACCCTGCACTGCTACTGCTTGGCTTCTCGACATCAGGCCTGCAGCTGCGGTGAATACAGGCACTGTGCTCAGGAGCTATGTACCAGGGGTGGGTCTGGGGCCTAAGGGTTGCAGTTTGCTTCCTCTGCCCTGGAAGCACCAGGGGCCAAAGCCCCCCGGCATTTTCAGGGTCCTGACTCAGGCTCACATTCTCTCTTGGGCTTTGTTTTTGTCCCACGCATTGAAATCTGCACCTTGTGAAGTGGGGAGTGAGCTGCTATCTCCACTAGTGAACGGGGATAGTGGCAGCCAGGCAGGAGGCTGAGGCAGGAGCATCACCCTGTGGGCCATGTAGGAAGACCCTGTCTCAAAACCAAGGTGGGATAATGCCATTGGTAGCAGCAGCTTACTGTATGTACCTCCCAGAGGCAGCTGTGGGGCAGGCTGTGTTATCCCTGTTGATAGGAAAGAGTACCAGATCGCTGAGGCAGAGCTGGAGCCCTGACCTGTGTGAATTGAGCCTGACACCTGTTCTTTGCTATTTTTTTTGATTTGCTGTTGAGATGGATGTCTCACTGTGTTGCCCATGCCAGCCTTGACCTTGTCATCCTCCTGCCTCAGCCTTCCAGAAAGCTGGGATTACAGGGGTGCACCTTGGACCCCAGCCATGGCCTGTCTTCTTGGCAGGTAATCTTGGTTGTGAGAATTGGATTTTTGTTTTTCGTTTTGAGACAGGGTTTCAGTGTGTAGTCGAAACTAGCTTTGAACTCACTAACTGGTCTCAAACTCGTGCTGGGATCATGGGCGTGCACCACATGCCTGGTTGAGAATTTAGTTTGATGAGGCAGTGCTTTTTAACCCGCACAGGGTGTTCAAACCACATTTATCTAGCATTAGTGGCGGGTATGTCTTTGCAAGAGGCACTGCAGTTCAGCATGGGGCTTTGCGCTGGGCTGTATCCCCAGCCTTCCCCCTTTTCTTAGTTTTACTGTTTTGAGGCAGTCTCACTGAGTTGTCTGGGCTGGCCTTGAGCTCCTGGTCCTCCTACATTGGTCTCCTGAGCAGCTGGGCTTCCAGGCGTGCACAGCTGCTCTTGGCTTCCTTCCTTATGCACCCACAGCCTCACCCCTTTGGTGACTGCTGTCCTGGGATGATGGCGGGGAGGACACTGAAGCCTAGCCTGATTTCTTCCTGATGGGATGGGGTGGGACAGGGCAGGGATGGCTGACTGGGGTCAGCCCAACTGCCATTCTCTGTGCAGCATCACTGGTATACCGCCTGCCTCAGGCGTGGCTGGGGCCCCGGCTGCCCTGGAAGGCCCTGCATGCGGCCCTGCATCTGGTGGCTTTTGTCTTCACTATGGTGGGGCTGGTTGCTGTCTTCGGGTATCACAGCCATACTGGAGTCGCCCACCTGTACTCCCTGCATAGCTGGTTGGGCCTTGCTGCCGTCATCCTCTTTGCCTGCCAGGTAGGTGCCCACCCTGCTCTACGGCCCCTGGGCACCCCTGGTCCCATGTTCCTGTTCTCTGAGCAGTGGCTTCGGTAGGAGAGGGGTTTACCGGTGCGGGTGCTGGAGATGGGTACAGCCTGGGGGTGACTGGGTGCTGGGTTGGGCCAGGCTGGGCTGTGGGGTACTGGGGCAGGAGCCCAGCAGCTTCAGCACATCCCTTGCCCCTCAGTGGTCCCTTGGCTTCGCCATCTTCCTGCTGCCCTGGGCACCACTGTGGCTGCGTAGCCTCTTGAAGCCACTCCATGTCTTCTTCGGAGCTGCCATCCTGTCTCTGTCTGTGGCAGCTGTCATCTCCGGCATCAATGAGAAGCTGTTCTTCAGCCTGTAAGCGTGCAGGGTCTCCAAGGCAGAGCAGGGTGGGATGGAGTCGGGGGGGGGGGGGGGCTGTGGTTCTGAGGCGTGAGCAGTGCACAGTGCTGGTGCCGGCGACCCTCCCGGGCTGTTCCTGCAGGAGGGCAACAGGGCTGTCCTTGGAGCCAGGGACGGGGGTGGTGCTTGGTCAGCTTGCCAGGCCCTGCTGTCAGAGCTGTGATCCACTCTGCTTCCCTGCAGTTTGTGCACTCTGCCACCACTACTTAGAGATGAGGACACCAAAGCCTGTCACCACAGCATCTGGGAGGCTAGGCAGGAGGGTTGGTAATTCAGGGTTAATCTAGGCACCTTAGCAAGTTAGATGCCACTCAAACCACAAAGTAGCACTTTGTCCCCAGACAGAACAAACGAAGGCCTAAAGGCACTGAGGCTGGGGAGGCTGTGACTTGCCCAGCAGGTGGCAGTGCTCCGCTTGGAGCATCATATAGGTGTCGCTGTGGCAGGTACTCAGCAAGCTGGGATGATCAGAGGGGAGCATTCTCCCTGATTAGTGGCATCGTATTTCCCGTCTCACAGCCATGTTCTGTCAGCCCCAGGAATGCCACCATGCCGTACCAGAGCCTGCCCAGTGAGGCCATCTTTGCCAACATCACGGGACTGCTGGTGGTGACCTTTGCAATGCTGGTCCTCTATGTTCTCCTGGCTTCATCATGGAAACGCCCAGAGCCTGGCACCCAGGTTTGGGCCACTGGTTCCTATTCGAGGGCAACTTAGGCCAGGTCCAGTGGGGACTGCCAAGGAAGGACAGGGCCTTTCCCAGGGGTGTGCCTCACAGCCTGGGGAAGTGAGGAGCTGGAGGCAGTCTTAGGCACAGCAGGGACACGCTGTCTAGCTCTTCCCTTCCTGTGCTCTGGGAGTGACGTGGGGCCTCTACTTCCCCAAGGAAAAGCTCCAGCCTGATGAGGGCATATGGTCCCGTCAGCTCAGCCAGCCCCCAGGCTGTGGCCATAGGACAGTGCCTGGAGCAGGTCTGGGCATCCTCACCACTTGAGCACCTGGCAGATGTGGGGAGGAAGGTTGTGTATGCGGGAATCAGAGTCCAGTGCCTTCCAGGAGACCCGGAGGCTGGGGCATGGGCTGTCTAGGTGGGTGTAAGGCATGGGTTGGGCTTCACTGGCCATGCAGGCCATTTACCCCTCTGCTCTGCCCTCTCTACAGCCCCTGTTGTGCGAGCACAAGTGACATGGGAAGGGCCTGCGAAGCCCCCGCTGCAGTCTGCAACCCCTGGAAGTGTGATCCATTTGGCCTGCCTGGCATTGGCAACGTCTCCTTGCCAGTGTTGCCCCTACTCCCTGGTGTCCTTGCAGGAACTTCTCAGGTCCTCTGCACAGGACCCTTACTCAGGCCTGGACACTGCTATGGCGCTGCTCTCCGGGTAGATGGGGCCGATCCACAGGGAAGAGCCGGATTTAGGCAGAGCCCATTTCAGGTGGCTTGGGGGCAATGAGCACATGACCAGGGCCCCTGTACCTGGCTGTTGGTCCCAAGTGTTGTCTTGCTGCCCCCAGTGTGTGTGAGCGTGAGATGCTGTGGATTCCATGCTGCTCTAGCTGGGGTGTGAGTGCAACTGGACCCCCACCTGTGTGCCTGTCACCCCCAGGGTCCCAGGATGGCAAGGAGGGAGGTTACCTTGCTTCCCCTGCTGGCCATAGGCCCCATGTACCCTCGTCTCCCACAGTTGGCCACCAGAAACCAGGGCCGCTTTGCGGGGCAGGTGCCTTCCAAGGGCTTCCTGCTTGGTCCACTCCTTCACTCCCCTGCATGCCGGCCTGGGCTCCGCGTGCCTCTTGGGCTAGGCCCAGCCTGACAGGAAGGTGGCTGGCCAGTTGCCCTGGCACAGGGCTGTCCCATGAGCGGATGTTTCCGTCATGAGCTTGGCTTCATTAAATGCAGTGTTTCTAAAGCTGCCTCTGTCCTGTCTGTTAAGCCCTGTGGTCTAGTGGCTGAAAGGTATCTTTTTCCAGTTTGGGGACCATGTGGCACTGGGGTAGGGTGGTTATGGTGTCAGGAGCTGTGGGGCCCCATCCCCCTAACCAGGCCACTCTCCGGTCATGCTGGTGTCACAGAAACATCATGGGAGCCTCCTCTGTGGAAAGGACGCTGGTTAAGCAAAGTCCTGGGGAAGCCTTGAGCAGGGGCGACCCTTGGGGACCAGGAGAAGCACTATGGGGGGCTGCCTTGAGATCCTTGACAGCTAACTGCCTGGGGCGCTTCTCACTGCAAGAGGAAGGAAGTGCTTCCTGTTTTATAATCTGAAAAGTGACTATCTGGAAGGGACAAGTGACTGGCTGGAGGTCGCCCGGCCAGGCGGTGGCCGGGCATGGCCTTAGGCCATGTCTATGTGAGGCCGGGACAGCCTGGTGGGCAGGGGCCATACTGGGCAGAGGAGCCCACAGCTGCCTCAGGAAAGGAGGTGCTAGGAAGCTCCCTAGGTGAGGAGTGGTGACCCCAGGAAGCCCTGACCCCTGTGTGGGGCCTCCCTGCTTGCTCACCCCTGGAGTGGTCCCTGCTCCACCCCATAGCTCCTGCGAAGCCGCCTGGGTTCCCTGGGATGCGAGTGCCTAGGCACCCCCATTCGGGACAGGCGCGCCTGGTGTGCCTTTGCTGGCATATGGCATCCCCGCTGCCCCACAGGCAGGCTTGCCTGCTAGCCCAGGTGCCAGGAGGAGATGGGCTGGTGGGGCAGGAGGCAGCTGTGGAACAGTACGGTTTTCTCCCTCGCGTCACCGTGCTGGGGACATGCCTCTGCACCTCCCACAGGCAGCCTGGCCTGGCTGCCACTGCTGAAGATGCAGGTGGCTACAGCCTGCTGGGTGGCTCCTGCCTAGGTATGTGTCAGAGGCTGGGAGCTCTGAGTGCCCAGCCACAAGAAAGGTGCCCAGGAATTTATTTCTCAGCTTTTATTTTTTCATGCAGATGGGTTCAGGCTCAGGGAGCCTACCAGGAAGGGTTCCGGGTCAGCGCAGGGCTGGGCCAGCTCGAAAGAGGCCTTATCGTCCACACGTAGGTCTGCTGGGCAGGATGGGGGAATCTGGGACTGCACCCCCTCTCAGGGCCTGGTGCCAGGCTCCTGGCACACTAGAGGCAGTGACTGGGTGGTGGTCACATGCCCTGTGCCTTCAAGGCCTCCAGGATGGCTCGGAAGATGGCAGCGGCTGCCACTGCGCCAGGATCTGGCTGGTCCAGGCGTGCAGAGCTAATGTAGCTGGCTCTGCCTGCTGCGGCCTCCATGGTCTTGGTGGCCTCAGCTGCAGCGGTGGCACTCTGGGGACAGGTGGGGACAGGTGGGCAGGAGGGTTCAGTCCAGGCAGCAGGCTTTCCCTTCCTGCTAAGGCCTTCGGTGGCCCAGACCTCATCTGGTCATCACTGAGGGCCCCAGTCGGCCCTTCCAGGACCCAGCACAGTCTGCCCTCCAATATCTCCCCAGGGGCCTGGGCAGGGCTCTGGGCTGCCTGCTCACCTGGACTGCTTTGGTCAGCACAGGTAGAAGTTTGGCCCCGGGATGCTTCCAGGCCTGGAGCTCCTGTCCCACTGCCCACAGGGAATCCAGCTGGAACAGGAAGGCCAGAGAAGGGGCTGAGGGGAGGCCCTGCCACTAAGGCGGCCTTCAGGGGCTGCAAGCTCTGGGGAGGTGGTGGTACACACCATGGTCCTGTCACCTGGCGCAGCCTTTCCATACCTGATGAGGAGAGAGAACATGGGCTCAGGGAAGGGGTCACATTGAGGGCAGAGACAGGGCCTAGAGCAGGTGCACCCACCACCCCTACTCAGCATGTTGCACCGGGCACAGCTCACCTCTGCATGGCATCTAGGCCAGCATCCATGGCGGCAGACCAGGCCGCCAGGTTGGTGTTGGCCTTTAGGGGTTGGGCAGCCGCCGTCAGGAACAGGCCGTAGAGCTGGGAGTACAGGACGCTGTGCTGCCTGCCACCCCCATCCCACCCCTGCCCTCCCAACTGGGCTGCCACACTCACTGCCCCGGAGGAGCCCCCCATCTTCTCCAACAGCAGCATGGACAGGCTGGACAGCAGGCGTGCAGGGCTGGCGGGCGGTGGGCCCTGCTCCAGCCACTCCTGGATGGCTGTAGGCAGAAGGTGGGGGACTCGGGGTAACGCCCTCCCGCTCCCTCCCAGGCTGCACCAGAAGCATGCATGTCCTTGGAGGCTGCCAGGACAGAGGCTGCTGGCTGCTTTGCTGGATGGACTCAGTCATGCCACTCTGGCTCACGTGGGCGCCACCCACTTTCCCAGTGTGAGTGCAATGGTGGGCAGCAGAGTGAGTCCTAATGAGGCTCCATTTTCCCAGGTGACAGCCCCCACACCTGCAACATGACAAGCTTTCCAGGAAGCCAGGAGGGGACGCTAGGGTGCTGTGAATGCCTGCGTGCTGGCAGAGGAAGGCTGCAGCCCCGAAGCCCTTCACATGCTCGCCTCGGGTTTGTTCTGAGCCCACTCAGGCTGGGTGCCACTCCAGCCCCTCCCACGACCCCAGGACCTGCTCTGACCTCGGGCTGCACGGCTGTGTGTGGTGCCACAATCCCCATCGCCTGCTGCCCGGTCCAGGGCATTGAGGTGCTCCTCCAGGTCCAGCAGGGCACTGCACACCCACTCTAGCACATGTGCTGCTTGCTTTGAGGCCACATCTGGGGAGGACAGGACAGGGCCTTTCGGTTCCTCACCATCCATGAAATGGGGCACTGATGGCCACTGCCTACCCCACCTTGGGCCAATAAGGACCCATCCCTCCCCAGCAGCCAGCCTGGTACCTCCTGTGGCAGCAGCATCAGGAGCCTCTGGGGGTGCGGCGGGGGCTGCACGACTCCGTGTCCACCCAGTCACAGACACCTTGGCCATGTGTGGCCATGCTACTGCTGTAGTCTCGGCATCTGGGACAATACAGGGACCTCAGACACTGGTCCTCAGGGAAAGGGCAGGTATCAGTGCACAACAACACACACACAGGGTCCCTGGGGAAGAGTCAGCCAGGTCTGAGGACCCTGTGCCAACTCCTCTGGAGCCTGAGCTGGTGGGAGAAGCCAGGGAGGTGGCGTGGTCAGGGTGGGTTCTGAGGGCTTGGCCTGGGGGACCTGGAGCCCTGTCTCACCTATTAGCTTCAAGAGGGGCTCATCTGCCAGCAGGAGAGTGAGAGAGACACCGGGCATCTCCAGGGCGGACATGAAGGTGCCCACCAGGGCACGGGCAATCTTCACCCTGCGGCCCTCTGTAATGCCAGCGTGGAGGCCCGTGAGGTGGGGGAGGGCAGCAGACCCGGTGGGAACATGGCCCAAAGTCTTCAGTGTGTCCTTCAAGGACACCCTGATGGCCATGCTCCCTGGCAGTGCCCTCGGGGGCCAGCACCAGTCCTGGGGTACAGGTGCTACGCCAGCATCCCGCCGACCCTGCAGCACTATGACTGTGGCTCTAAGGCACAGATGGGACTGGGCTCAAGGCCCTGTGGTGAAGTGGCCACATGGTGACCCGCTGAGGCCACGACTGCTCAGTCTCTGCTCCGGGCTACCCTGAGACCTCCTTGGGCCCCCTCTCACATCTGGCTTTGCAGGGCTGGGGTCCCTAGCGTGCGCTCACCAAGACATCGGACAGCAGCATCAGCCACAATGCCCAGTTCCAGGAACGACAGGCCACCCAAGTTGTTGACCATCAGTACCACCGAAGAGCCTGCAGGCACCCAGTGACACCCGGTGAGACGCTGAGAGGTGGGTTGGGTTGGGGTGCAGAGGCAGGAACCCACGCACCTGGCTGCACGGGCACGTGGGACACGTTGGAGGTATCCGTCATGTGGTCCAGCATGAGCGTGACAATCTCATCGGCAGTCGCCATCTGTCACCGGGGGCTAGAGGTGAGGTACGTCTTGGGGCTTTGGCCTCAGGCTGGCCAGGCATAGGCATCACTTACCTGGACCCGGCGCACACCTGCTTCTCCGTGGATCCCTGTGGAGGGAGGAGGTCAGTGACTGCCAGGCCCTGGGACAAGTTTGTCTCATCAGATTGGGCATGTGGCACAGAGGCAGGGCTGGCATGAACAGGACAGGGTGCCTAGTGCTAGTGCTTTAATTGGAAGGCTCAGACACTGATGCCAGCAGTCTAGACTCATAGAAGGGAAGGGACAGCACTATGGCTGTGGCCAGGTGACCCTGAATTCCCTGGAGAGAAAGCTGCACCTGGGCATAGAGGACCCAGGCAGGAGTCAGGCAGGGTGGCCAAGCCTGGCCTCAAACTCTACTTGTAACTACTGACACCAGTGGGGCATAGCTGCAGGTGGCCACAAGGGCCCATGACATGACACCAGGCCTAGGAGATGGACACAGGCGGGGACAGTGGCTGTGACTTACCTAGGCCCAGCTCCACCTCACTGGCAGCGAGCTCAAAGGTGGGTCTGGAGCCAGGGACGCTACAGGAGGACAGGCTCACCCCCAGGGTACCTAGGACAATGCAGGGCACACGCCTGGTGTCAGGACGGGCAGTGGCGATGCCCTGGGAGACCCAGCCCTGTGTGTCTTCATCTCAGTGAGGACAAGGAGGCCGCTGTGCTCCCTGGGGTGCCCGTCCGTCCTGTCTGGGAAGCCCCCATCTGCCAGCAGAAGGTGCTTGCGTCATGGGTCTGGCACTCACCCATTGCCTTGGCCACTTCGCTCACCCGCTCAGCGATCTCTTCCAGCCCTACACCTTCCTCGGCCAGTGCCCCTGCCACCTGAAGCCAGATAGCCCGGTGGGAAGGAGTCCCCCACCATTAGGGGCCAGGAGGGGCCTGTCAGTGGGAACCGTGGGTCTTCCACCCCACCTGGCCCACAGTGTATGGGCACACGCATCTTCCCTTGGCTCATGACACACCTTCCTGGGCCCTCAACAATTCTGGGCTGTTAAAGCCACCAGGGACTTGATAGATGGGAAATGGGCTCTGAGTACAAGAGGTGGCCCACGTCACACAGACAGCAGATGACTCCTTGAGCCGTAGACTATGGCCTCCTGAGCCCCCATCCAGCAACTGTTACCAAGCATGTAGAATGCAGGACAGTGAAGAGACGGCAGAGATGCATCCCCAGCTCCAGGGACATAGCCTGGGCAGGGGCAGTGAAGCAGGCCGGGTGCAGAGAGGCTAGGAGTCTGTAGTCCTTGTCACTGAAGCGCGGAGAGGGCACTGAGTAAGAGCTCAGACACGGGAAGAAGACAGGAGTGCCAGGCCCTTGTGCATGGACAAGTGCTCTGCCATCCAGCTGTATATTTCCATTTAGTCACCTCTGGCAGCAATTCGGGGACGGATGGGGCAGTAGGTAGAGCACAGGCGCCCTGACTCCCAGCAAGGACAGGTTAGTCTAGGGGGGAGGCACATGGGGAGGAGGGCTGGCTGGTGTGGCTACTTACCTTGTGGATCAGCACTGTGCCGCAGAGGCCCCGCCGGCCGGCCTTCTTCAGGGCAGTAAAGGCACTGTCGTCGCCGATGACCACCATCTCCACAGGGATACCCTCAGCGCGGGCCTGCTCACAGGCCAGGCCAAAGTTGAGCCGGTCCCCAGTGTAGTTCTTCACAATGAGGAGGGTGCCCACTGCCGAGTGGCCAGAGCTCATCAGGGTCTGCCCACCCTGGCCCTGTGGGCCCGCCTGGAGGAGCTCCATGCCAGCTGACCTGTGCCTGCCTGAGCCACCGCCCTGATGGCAGCCAGGATGCTGCCCACGGCCGGTGAGGTGAACACGGCTCCTGCGATGACTCCTGTGAGCATCCCCTTCCCAATGAACCCTGAGGACAGATGGGCAGGCATGGGTGTTATTTAGGGGCAGTGCCTATGCCACCCCTCAGGGACCCAGTGGCCTCGCTAAACTCCCTGGTGTGTGTCCTGGCTGGCTGCCACCTGTGCCCTCTGAGCAGGATGAGAGCCTAGGAGAGCAGAGGGGCTTGTTTAGGGGTCACAGTGGACATGTGCCCAGGATAGGGCTGGCACCCAGTGGGTGGGGAAGCCATCGATGACACAAAGCCTGGTCCTTGCCCCTGGGATCTTTTAGGACTTAGTGCCACTTGGCGGGGTGGGGTCAGGAACCCTGCTTCAGGAAGGAGATTCATAAGATTCAGCATCACTGGCTCTGACAGCAGACTACCAGAGGGACTTTGGCCTCACACTCCCAGGGACACAACCAGCAGGCCTCCAAGTGACCCCTTAGGTCCCTCACCCGCGTGGGCAGGCTCATGGCCAGAACCTCCGCCAGACAGTAGTGCCACCCGGCCCTTGAGGCTGTCCAGGTCAGAGCGCAGTGCCACCCGGTGGCCCTGAAGCAGCTGTAGGCCGGGGTTGCAGGCTACCAGGCCAGCCAGGGCGTCATCAGCGCAGCCCACCACCGAGTTCACCAACTTCTTGGAAGTCTGCAGGAGAGGGGTAAGGATGTGGCTTGGGGTGCAGCCAGCCATGCTGCTGTGCCAAGGGCCTCTCTCCATGCTGACACAGGCTTGGAGGACACAGCAGCACCTTGACCTAGGCCCCATTTCACCAGGAAGGTGATTCTGTGACTTATTTTTTCGTTTTTTTTGGTACTGGGGACTGAACTCATGACCTTGTGCAGGCTAAGCAGGTACTTATACCACTAAGCTAAATTCCTGGCTTCTTTTTATTCTTCCTTTTTTTCGAGACAGCATCTTGCCATGTAGTCCAGGCTGGCCCTGAACTCATAGCAATCTTCTTGCCTCAGTCTCCTGATTTTTATAGGCATGTGCCACCATGCCTGGCTTCTGTGACATCACTGCTTAATGACTCTTTATTCAGTGCCTAATTGAGAAACTGTACTGTGGCTTCAGCTTATCCTGAAACATAGCTTCAACATGAAAAAAAAAGACAGGTTAGAGTCCCCAGTATGATGGACTAACGAATGTGGAGTGCACGCTTGCTTCTGTCACAGGAAGATCCTTGGGCTGCTGCCTCTGCCAGGGGAGAGGAACAGGCAGACCCAGGCCCAGAGGGAAGGCTTCCCAAGCCATGAGGACTTGGCCTCAAGTCGCCCCTCACCTGTGATAAGCTGCACCCTGTTCTGTACCCGTTCTCCCTCTGTGACTCCAGATCACTGGGACACAACGTGCACCTGTGTGGCTGAGAAGGCTTAACCGGAAGCAGCTGCTCCCCTCCCTGAGCTGCTAACATAGCTGTTGGCTGGGACTCAGTACCTTTCTTTGTCCTCAAGTGGGAGACCCAAACCCATTGTGGGCCCAGAAGAGGGTGCCTGGCGCCACCTGGTGGCTTGCAGCTCAGCCAGGTTCTAGCAAAGTGGCTTCTAGTAGCAGCTCCTTCCAGAGCCACCACTATGAGTAGGGTTCCTTATGACAAACACAGCCCTGGTGCCTGCCTGCCAGCCTGCCTGCCTGCCCGCCTGCCTGCCCACCTGCCCTGAGTTTGTCCAGGGGCAAGGCCATGCTGTGCCAGCTGCTTATGGGTGAGGCTGAAGCTCAGCCTGGAGGGCAAGCAAAGGAGTAACATCAACTGCTGTTTGCTGAGCAGTGACTGGGAACTGGGCTGTTTCTAAGTGCTTTTCAATGTGTCTCATTTAAGTCCCTAGCAATCCTAGGAGAAGAAAGATTGGCCCAGGGAGTAAACAGACAGTCACCCAGGCAGCAAGGGTGGGGTCTGCCTTGCTCAGAAGCTGGTCCTGCTGTGGCCTTATGCTGCTTGCCTGAGTGGCTTCGGGAGGCAGAGAGGTGGAGGAAGGAAGGAAGGGCATAGGCTGGTGGCTCTAAGAGTCCACAGGGTCAGGGACAAAACATGGAGCTATGAGCTGCTGTCAACCTCAAGCCCAGTTTCTGCCACCACTGCCCTTCAAGCATTTGTCCTGCCTAAGAATCTCAGCCATGGTTGCCCGAGAGCCAGAGAAGGGCCTGTGGGGACAATGCACCCAGGGACAAGGGATGGACTGGGAAAAGTCAAGCATTAGGTAAGGCCCTGGGATTCAGTCTGATTAACTCCTACCCCTCAGCAGAGGCCTTAACCTGCCACACGGCAGATGAAGAAAAGAGAGGCCAGACCTTTTGTGAAAGATCACACAGCTAGTCACTGTCAGGCTGGAATCTGCACCCAGCTCTGTTCACAGCTTACTTTAGTGCAGATCAGCTTTTAGAGTAACCTGAAGCAAATACCAGGGCGTGGTAAACCTCCCACACAGCACAGTCAGGCTCCAGGACCAATTTGCCCCTGTCCCAGGCTCGGAACGGGGAGAGCTCATTCTCCCTGGCTCCTTCTATGACTATTCAGAACAAGTAACTGTCAATGTTCTAACCAACACATATGATCCAGACACCGGCTGATGGAGATGGGCTTCAGAGGAGGCAGAGGCTTCCTCATGTCCCTCTGGGACTTGGCTAGCAAGTTGGAGAGACGGAGTGAGGCCAACTGTTGACGAGCCACTCAACCTCTGAATGTCATGAGACAGCAGTTGCTGGTCAAGGAGGAAGGAACTCCAGGACCCTGGGTGGGGGTGCCCTCCTCCTACCCTGGCCCCCCAGGACTCACCATGGTGGGGGGCTCTGAAGCAAGCTGCCTCTCTCTCTGCACGGAGCTGCTGCAGGCTGGCAGTCCTTCAGGTGCTACTGGTCTGAGCACAGCAGAGCTGGCACCAGCACCTGCAGGTGTGGGGACAATTGAAACCACTGAAGGCTGATGGTCCACTGGCACAGTCAAACCTCCAGGGCCTTGGGGATTAGGGAGGTGCCCCAAACTTCGGACCAAGTCCAAACTCTAGTACGTGGGCTAGGGATGGGGAGCAGCATGGGGCTGACCAAGGTTCACACCTGCACTTGGCTGCCAGTGGACAGATAAATCTGTGTTGGGCACGGGGCTGGCTTACACCCAGTCACAGCGCTCGGTGTAAAACGCGGTGTACAATCAGGGAGCAAAGTTAGCCACGTGTAACTTTGTCTTATAGACGTCTCTTGCATAAAGTTACAAAGATCACACACTTTCTCTTGTTGGCCTTGGCACCACACCAGGAAGGAACCAGCTTTGTTACCCCATTTTTCATCTAGGAAACAGACCCAGAGCCCCGGGCATGGTCCAAGGTCATCCTTGGGAGGGTCAGTACTCAAGACTCGTGTCCAGGCTTTCTACAAAGCCTGTGCTCTTTCTGCTGACAATTGCAGGGCTCCAGGTCAGGCGGGGTCCTGCTGTTGGAATCCCAGGTGTAAACCTCACCCATGTGTGTATGCGTGGATGTATGTACATAACTTAGACCCGGCTCTGTTCTGGCAATGCCTGTATTTACAGGGATGGTGGTGGGCACGCGACTTTAAGTTAAACCTCCCAGAGGCCCAGCTTCCTCGTTTGTAAAGCAGGATAGGGCTTCTTCCCAGCATCCTGCAGATCAATGTGCAGCTGAGCCTGAAGGGCTATCCCGGTCGTCGACGTCCCCGCCAGCCAAATTCAGCGACTGTGTCGCAGAGGGGATGCTGACAAAGCCAGGCCCCCGAGGGCCTTAAGAATGACCCACAAGGAGGGACTAGGTGCACCTGGGCAGGACTCAAACTCGGTCACTTCGCGCCTCGCCGGCCTCTGCGGTCCTTCTGGCCTCGGGGGAACAGCGCCGAGGGCTGCTGGGCAGACTGAGGGACAGAGTCGGGGGCTGAGAACGGGTGGGGGCCGGAGACCTTGAGGCGGATAAGCTACGAACGTGTCGCGAGACACCCACCCACTCTCGCCGCCAACTCTGCTTCTTGAGGACCCGAAAGGCGCGCTCTCATCCGGGTATTCGGGCGCCGGGGGCGGGGCCTCGGGGGGCGAGGCCTCTCCTGGTTGGTCGCATCCGGCACCGCGAGTCCTCCAGGGGGCCCAGGAGGCCGTCCCGTGATGCCCCGCGCCTGCCGCTCTGGCCTGCAACGTGTCTCTAGGGCGGAGGCATCCGCCGTGGAGTTGGCTGCGCGCGGGTTGGGGCTCTCAGTCTCTTCGCTGTGTCCATCCTTCGATCGTCCGCCTCGGGTCCCGACGGGCCGCCCCAGGCTTTGACATGTCGTACAACTACGTAGTAACGGCGCAGAAGCCCACCGCCGTCAACGGCTGCGTGACCGGTGAGGCGGCTGGGGACCCCGGCGAGCGGGAGCTGGAGGGACCGAGGCCTAGGGAGGCGCGCGGCCCTGGGCACAGCATGGCTGGGCCGGCACGAGGCGCGGCCTGCAGCCTCCCCGGCCCGCGAGCTGGGGGACTGGTTTCTGCGCGCGCGCGGGGACTCGAACAGCTGCTTCTCGGGTCCCTTCGACCTCGGAGGACACTTGGTCTTCAGCGCTGGGCGGCCTGTAGCACCTAGCGCTAGTGTGAGCGCTGAGGTTGGCCTGTGGTCGGGGAAAAATACGGTGGCGATCGCACCCTGGGGATCAGGATTTCATGTCGGGAAGCCTGGGGCAATGGGGGTGGGGAGCAGACGGAGGAATGTGAGCCTTGCTGCCTCGACAAGGAGGGCCTGGAGCTCTTTCCGGACCCACCGTTTTCCCTGGGGCTTTTATTTACTGCAGGACACTTCGGGAAGAAAAGGTTTGGTTAGTCTCTGGCCTTTGCCAGGTTTGCTTTGTTGACTATGTGCGAACTTCTTTAAAGACAGGGACGTCCCAAACCGCAGAGTATACACTCTGAACTCACGGTCTCAGCTGAATATGCAACCCCTAAACCTGTGTGTTTATGTAAATCTTAATGGTGATTGCAGAACGGAAGTTTGTTCAGAGAGGTAGCTGCCTGTGGCTTCGGATGGTAAGGATAGATTGCTGGAAGGGGAAGAGATGTAGAGAAAATGGACAGAAGCTGGGAGGATTTCTTCATTTGACCTGGTGGCCAGGTTTTTTTTGTTGTTTTTTTTTGTGAGGTTTTGGATAAGACTGGAAGAGATAAACATTTCCTTGAGCACCTTCAATTACATTTACCTACTGTACAGTAGTGGAAAGGTAAAAGTCAGCAGTCATCCTTACTGTTTTTGCAGTTGTCCTCCAATGACACACTACTCTCAGATCTCCTGTCCTGTTGTCTCAGTCAGACCCAAAGCAACTCTGTCGAATGCATGAAGTGAGATACTTGGAGATGCTGGATTTGGCAAGAAGGGGGATGAGTGGAGTCAGGGAAATCTGTGAGGTAGCTGATGATTCTTAAGATATTTTGGCAGGCATTGGTAGGGTTGATATACAAGAACTTGGGAGGCTTTAGAAGTTAGAGGATCTGTTTTTTCAGGACACTTTACTTCAGCAGAAGATTTGAACCTGTTGATTGCCAAAAACACGAGATTAGAGATCTATGTGGTCACTGCGGAGGGGCTTCGGCCAGTCAAAGAGGTTGGCATGTATGGGAAGATTGCTGTCATGGAGCTTTTCAGGCCCAAGGTAAGTGTTCCCCACTGGGGCAGCTGTAGGTCTTAGGGGTGTTTTACGTGATTGTTTGGGATGGGTGTCATATGGTTTAGGAGAGGAACTCACTTCTCTATTTGAGTGGCAGGTTTTTTTTTTTTTTTTTTGGTACCAAGAATTAAAAACGGGGCCATGTGCTCGTTAGGCAGGCGCTTGTGCTGCTGAGTTATATCCCTAGCGCTGAATGGCAGATTTCTGTATGTACTCTTCCTGAACAAACTTTCCAGAATTAGGAAAAATTCCCTAGGACAAATTTTACCAAGTTGACTTTTCTGGGAAGAATGAAAGCAGTTTGAAATGTGAATCGCTATGTTGCTAGTATGAATGGGGCAGTCTTGGCTTTATGTCTTTTTTTTTTTTTTTTTTGTCTTTTTTCCTTTTCATTGGTACCAGGGATCGAACTCACGACTGCCTGCTTGCAAGGCAGGTGCTTATGCCGCTGAGCTAAATCCCCAGCCACATAGCTTTATGTCTTGATCAATTTTTCCAACTGTAGTTGTAACTTTTGATACCTTTCAGAGCCTTGATTTTCCCATCTGGAAGTGTAAGAGTATCTAATACACTTGCTTCCTTGTGAAGATTAAAGGATTCAGTAACATAACCTAATAAAATAGTAAGCCTTTATTGTTAACTGTTTCCATCATCAGTGATTATTACCCTAATTCAAATGTTTTTGACCAGTTAACCTTTGCATTGTTTCATTGTATCTTAAATGAATCCAACGACAACAACAAAAAACCCGGTGGGGGGGCTGGGGATTTAGCTTAGCGGTGATAAGCACCTGCCTTGCAAGCAGGCAGTCGTGAGTTCGATCCTGGTACCAGAAAAAAGAAAAAGAAAAAAAAAAAAAAACACCCAGTGGGTTTAACTGTTTAATTATAACTCTTTGAACAAAGCACTCACGTTTTTGAAGTCTGTGTTAAATAACACTTTGCAGATCCATTGTAGCTTTCATGGTTATTACCACATTTTTTCCTTTTTTCTTTTTCTACATACTGGGAGAGAAGGGCTGGGGATTTAGCTCAGCAGCATAAATGCCTGCCTTGCAGGCGGTGCTGTTGTGAGTTCGATCCCCGGTACCGATTTTAAAAAATAAATAAATACATAAATACTTGGAAAGAGGGGGACAGGCATTAGATTCCTCTTTCAGAATTTGAATGGAATGGTTGAGATTAGCTTTACCAAAATACATGAAGGCAGTGCCCAGAGCTGGAGAGTCAGTAGAGTTGAGGATTAGCTGTTTACTAATTTCTACCTTAGGGCATGTATGCAGCTGGTACAACTTGCCCTCTAGTGTATTTTCTCTTTTGGGAGAGAAAGAGTACTTGGAATGCTCTTCAAGAGTTTAGTTTGCTTCAGGAATGATGTGTAAAAGCAGGGCAGGTTGTTCCTGTTTTTCCAAGAACGTCTTTTGATAGCATAATTTTGGTTTCCAGGGGGAGAACAAGGACTTGCTGTTTATCCTGACAGCTAAGTATAACGCCTGTATCCTGGAGTACAAGCAGAGTGGGGAGAGCATCGACATCATCACACGAGCCCATGGCAACGTCCAGGTAAGGCAGCTGCTCAGGCTGAGAGTTTGCTGGGGAGGGCGAGGTTATTCAGTGGTTTAGCAAAGAGTATTGTGTGTCAGTTCTGTGCAGATCAGAGAAACCAGGAGAAAATGCATACAACTGTTGAGTTTCAGGGGTACATGGAAATGTATGTGTTGACATTTGGGCTTCCTTTTTAAGCCCAAATGCCTATGTCACCAGTTTCACTACCTCTCAAAGTCATCTTGGGAGAGCATCCTCTCTTCTTGCGTGGCTATTGAGGCTCTCTTCTAATCCCTCTTTTGTTTCTCAGGACCGCATTGGCCGCCCCTCAGAGACTGGCATCATTGGTATCATTGACCCTGAGTGCCGAATGATTGGTCTGCGACTCTATGATGGCCTTTTCAAGGTTATTCCGCTGGATCGAGACAATAAAGAACTCAAGGCCTTTAACATACGCCTGGAGGAATTGCATGTCATTGATGTCAAGTTCCTGTATGGTTGTCAGGCACCTACCATTTGCTTTGTTTACCAGGTAATGGATCAGGAGGAGAGCGTGCGGAATGGTGATTTGGAATGAGGGGGGTGGGTTTCTGCCAACAGTGCCTGCGTTGAGGGAGACAGGATAGGTAGAATCCTATGTCCAGAAATATTTGGAAACATATAGTTAACGTGGGTCCTATTCTGCTTCCTTATTGAATATGGTGGTACTTATCATGAGGGGGCAAGCTCTGGGGCTTGCAGCATGTTTAATCCTGAGATTACAGGCCTCTGTAGGCCTTAGAGATTTTATTCAGTGACCCAGTTTGTACTCTGTTGGAAATCTCTTATTAGCATGCCTGGGGATTGTGGATACTTGCCTGTGGAGAAGTAATCTAGAACTTACCTTTATAAGCAAAAAGAAATGTCCATTGGTGTCTTCCTAGAAGGGGCTTGCATTTTGTCTATTTAGCATTTGTTTTCTAGGACCTTGCTGGCTCCTGGCTTCTGTTTTAGTCTCTGCCTAAAACTTTTACAAAGCTGATTTTGAGCAGCTCTCTCTGGTCCAGATCTGTAAGTGAGGTGGGGTTTGTAAAGCTCCAGACTAACCGCCAGGGTCTCTGTGAAGTCTCAGGCTTTTGACCGGGAGCCGGGCAGCATGAGTTCCTTTTGCTTGTTGTGGTTGCGAAGCTGACAGAGAAAACAGTGGTGTGTGGGAACAGTGGCTGTGTACAGTACTGCAAGTGCTCGTGTTATCACAAGTGCTGCAGTCCAGAGGCCGTGAAAGAAGGTTCGTTTAGTAGAGTTAGAACTAGTCCCAGTTTTGTTTGATCTTACGATCTTTCAGAGTTGAAATAAAACCTTAAGTGTTTCTCTCCATTTTTTTTTTTTTTTGTTTGTTTTTTTGAGACAGGGTCTCACTGTGTAGTTCAGGCTAGCCTTGAGCTCATGCTAGGGTCACAAAGTATGTTCTGCTGGCCATAGTCCAAGGTCTGCTGCTGCAGATCTTCGTTTCTCTGTGTATGTGAGGCCTAAGTCCACTCTGGCTTGGACTTCTTGTGAAGACAGTTCTTACCCTGCTTATTGATGGGAAAAATCTTTTTATCATGCTTTGTCCTGTTGTACAGCAACAATTCACTTTGACCAGTGCCCTGCACTTCTGCGGGAAAGGAGCCCCATAGTGACTGAGATGCGCTCTGCCCTGAGGCATGTTGCTGAATTCCTTGGTCATGTCTGAGGTTTTCTCTGACCTCTAGTAGTACCCTCTTCCACTGTGGAATGCAGCATCTCCTGTCCTGCTCCCTTGCAAGTCTCTTCGAGGTGACTTTGCAGCCCCAGGCCTGATGTGAGCTGTTGTTCTGGAAAAGGAGGGGAAGAGTCATCCTTCAGAAGGAGCAGGTGGTGCTGGTGAGG